TTAAAAGAGCCTAGTTAAACATTTGTCGCGAAAAAGCCACCTTACTTCCATATGAAATCGCACATTACTCTTAACAGTCTTGTATTCAGTGGTAGTGATTTGATCAAATTAATTATCTTCACGGTTTTGTCCAAGACTAATTTTAGGGAAGGCGGCATTTTTTCACAGCGAGGCTATGGCGGTGAAAGATACAGTGACTAGCTGCATTTTTTGGCTATTTCCTTTATTCTTGAAATGACGCCCGACGTTCTTCCAGTCATCGCCTTCACGCCATCTGTGCACACATCGTCGCAGTTATCCCAGGGAATGCTATTCTCTGTAAAAAAGCTTTCTAATAACTTGAAAATTTCAACACCAGTTGTATTAGTTGTCAATGGTTTGCAAAAAAGTAGATTGAGCTTTTGAGAAGACTAGAAGTGCTGGTACCGCACAAATGCTATTAAAATGACCAACCCAGTTACATATGTTGACTCATCTATCTGTAGTGAAAACTTGGTAGATTTTAGATAGAATATTAGGAGCGCATGTCAAACCAGTATTTTAATTTTGAAATTATTATGTATTTTTTTTTCTAATATTTAACCGTTTATTATCGCCAATTATAGCGGAGCTTTTTGTTTAATGTTTAACCGTTAATTATCGCCACGTAGAAGAGGATCTGCAGATGCCTGGCGGAGTAATCGGTGCTCCGCGGAGCACAATTTGGGAAACACTGTAATATACTATATAAGATATTACAGTGTTGGTAGTACACGATAGTAAATTTCTATTGCGATAGTGGCGCTATCGGTCTGTAAGGCTAACTACTTATCGGATCGAGCAGATATCTTTTTTTTTAACTTTTATAAAAATCGGATTTATTTATTACAACACACTTCACTATGTTCTCTTTGGTTAATGTCCAACATTATTAAAATAAATGCTTGTTTTTAAAAATTATCACAATAATTTATTAGGTCCTCAAATATTGTGCTTACTAGGGGTAGCACTAATTAGAGTACCGTAAAACAATAATAAAAAATTTGATAGAGGCGTTATTTGTTCTACCCTCATTTGGGTAAATCGTATATGATCCTACTTTTTTTCTTTAATCGCTTCCAAATATTATTAGAAATAATAATTTCACTATGCCTACACTTTAAAAAGTGAGCTAAATTTTTTATCAAGTAGCAAAAAAAAATTAAAGTTATTTTTTTCTCTTTTTCGGTGCTATATCTAGGTAACTACGCATTTTAGACAAATTTTGTGAAGACAAAAAAGTTTAAATTTTCTGTAAGATAGGATTGATTGAACATTAAAAAAATAATAATTATTATTGCAAAATTAGGAAAAAGCATTAAAAAAATTGATTTTTAATAATATTTTTCATGTATTAAAAAGACACAGAACTTCAAAAATTTACCGAGAGGATCTTTTAATATAAAAAACACTATACAAAATTTCAGCAGAATCAATCAGTAGTTTTCGAAAAATAATTATGCTTTTGAAAAAAAAAACTCATTAATTTTTAAAATTATGCAGAGCCAATAAAAAAAGTTTTAAATACTTGATTTTTTACAAATAAAAGCGCATTCAAGCTTTCAAATTAATATAATTTAAATTATTAAAATACATTAAATATAAGAGCTCAACAAATAGCAAAACTTTTTCATTTTCCAATTAATATTTTTTTTTCTTAACTTATATTGAAAGATCAGCTAAAGACGCGTTTAAAAAACTTCAAGATTGGTCGTTTACTTCCAAAGTTATGATCGATTAAAATTGATTGGCATTTACAACAATAGTTCGAATGTTTGAGATCTTTTTCGTAAACAAATACCTTTTTTGTGCCAACTACTTAGTAGATTAAATTTTTAGTAGATTAAACCTCTTTTTCTTGTGTGCAACCTGGTTAAAATTTTGATTTAAAACTTTAACAATACAGAAAAATTGATGACAGTAAGTGGTGAGGATAGCAATTTTAACAGTCTCAAAAATGAAATCACGAGTTCAAAATAGCAACGCGCTTAAAAAATTTAATTGTCTTAGTTTCTTGGTGTTTTCGCATCTTTCCAAAAATGTAGGTCATTTTAACTGAGGTCCATCGCTGAGAGGTATCTTTTACATGTAAATGTTCACCCACCATCGAAATTCTAACTTCATGATCAGTAGACACCTTTCGGTCTTTAATCTTGTTTATTTTACGAAATGTTTTCGCTACAGGATCCCTTCTTTTTCTACTCGAAAAATATTTATGTGCCCATTGGTAAAAAAGCTGCGGTATGCCAAATGTGAAACAGACTTGCGTGAATTTTTTTCATTCTAAGATTATACAATATATAACTGTTTACTACTGTAGCATTTAGGATGTAGTACAGTAAGTTCATCCACCATTTTCTCGATTTACAAGAGATATCATAGCAAGAAAACATCTGATCGAATCTGTCGACGCCTCCCATAAACCTATTGTAGTCACAAACTACTTTTGGGCATTCAATATCTTCCCATACTCTAGCTTTATTAGTGCGCGTTACAGTTCTTTTTTTAATATTGTTAATTATTTATTATTCAGTTAAGTTATTTTCTTGTGGCATTGTAAATTAATTACTACTAAACTGGGAATAAGCCACAATTAAAGATAAAAATACGTTTATTGACGTTTCAATTTCCACTTCGGAAATTGTTCTCAAAATACAAACAGTTTGTATTTTGAGAACGATTTCCGAAGTGGAAATTGAAACGCCAATAAACGTATTTTTATCTTTAATTGTGGCTTATTCCCAGTTTAATAGTAATTAGTTCTTTTTTAGCGGGATTATGCATATTGCTAATCACCACCAAAATGTTTCCTCTATCTCTCCATTTAACCACAGATATGTCTGCAGTTTGAGCAAAGTCGGAATCTCCAAGTTTTACAGGTTTGTCACTTCGTAAAAACTTTTTTTGGGTAATATATTCGATTAATTCTAAATATCACACAGGCAAATAATTGTCTTTTAGCTAGTTCTTGTAGAAAAGGAATACTACTAAAAAAATTGTCGAAATAAAAGCAATAACCTTTATTCCACACGGCTTTTGAAAGTGATAGAATGAGTAACCCATTCCTGTAATGAGTAATTGTCGCTTTCAGTGGACTTACCTTGGTACACTTCAAACAAAAACATATATATCCCGTTTCAGTACATGCAGCAACCCAAACTTTAAAACCTTGCTTAGTTGATTTTAGAGGAATATATTGCTTTAAGCTTGACCTAACTTTGAAGACAACCATACTTTCATTGATAGATATATTTTGAGAAGGGACATAATTCTGATTAAAATTATTGTTAATATTATCAATCAGTGAAGGTGTTTTATAGTTTGTCAAAATTGGTTTTACCTTTTTTGACATTTTTGAATTATGATTTATATCGATGAATCGTAATTCTTGAAGGAACCATTCCCACCATTAGCAAATTCTATCTACTCTAAAATTTTTATCACTTGACCAGTATAATTTAAAAGTCGGTAAGTAATAAAATCCCACTATGAGGAGCTCCCCAAAAAATGCATTGACCTCTTGTACGTTTAAATTTAGTGTCATCCCATGCTGCTGGGAATATAAATTAGACTGTTCTACTATGTGCTACAGCATATTTTGACCAAAAAGTTGGTGAAAAATGGACATCGGAGGGCCAATGTTGACTGGCGTAGTATCCCCACCTCGCTCAGAAAATGCAACTTTTAAAAACAAGAGAGGATCTGAAGCTTCCTTTTTGTATGTGTATGATAAGGAAATTATCGTCGTCACCAATAGAAGTATTATCACCATCGTCGTCATCATCTAATTGCATCTCGTAATCATCAGATTGACATATTTTTTTCGAGTCGATCGGGTCGATCAAAGAATCATCAGAGTCAAATGCTGTAGCTTCCTTAAACTCATAACTAAGTCGTGGCCTATCGTGCAAAAGAATACTTTCAGAGTTACCATTGGCTGAAGCTAAAAAAATAATAGCAGTAAATACTTATGTGTACTGTCAATATATTCATACTTACATGAGGGAGCATCCACATTTGAGCGTGTACATATAGCATTTGTTACATTATATATTATAGCATTCTCTGCATCACTATCACCCCCATTTTTGAGTCTATGGCTTGGTCATTAGTTATACCATCAATCCATCTGTAGAGTTAATTGAGATTTAGCTCTTGTAGCGTGTCAATCCTGATTCTCGACATTCTGAAACAGAAACTTCATTCACTACACAACTAATATGTTGGCAGTATGAACTGGATATAACACGATATAAAATCTCAGCCGAAACTTTATATACTTTAGAATTTAGGATTTTATTTCATACATATAATTTTTAGTTAATGAAAATAAGATTAAACAATTTTGCTAACATTACTAATTTGAAAATTAAATCAGAAATAAACGCACTTTATATAATGTAATAAAGTTTTATATCAACAAATATGATATAAAATTACCTTATTAATGGTTTTTAATGGTAAAAATGGGGCACTTGAAATAACAAAACAGAACACATATAAGACAACTAGTACACTAAAGTACACTAAGTACACAAGTACACTAAAGGCGCACAGGTTGAATTCATGATACAATTAATACCTTATTCTTTGTACCATAGGTTGAATTTTAATGAGTCATCGAAAGATTGTTCCTTAGACAAAATCGTGATAACTGGCTTATTTACAAACCTGTGCGATATTAAGAAGTCAGTGAGTCATAAGCGGTTGATATATCGACCAGAAATCGTTAAAGTGTTAAGTACTTTTTTCACAAGTGTTTAATAAAAAATTTAGCCTACCGTTTGAAGTTTCCTCATAGTGAAATTATCATTTTATGTAATATGTCAAAGCGAATAAAGCAAAAAAATAAGATCGTATACGATTTACCCAACCCAAAGCAGATCGCCTTGTCTGTGTTGAATTTGATGAAATTTTTGGATGGACAGTTTTTACGCAAGGTGAGATAGTATAAGTTCACTAACTGCTATATAATGTTTTAGAGCACTGCCATCTCTCCAACCAGATCCAGATTTAATCTTCATTTACAGGGTGTAAGACGTAGAGACTCTATTAATAGTTCCATTGGAGCTACATCTGTTAGAAGACTGTTAGCTGTTGTCAGAGGTGGCAATAGAAACGGGCCTACAGGTAACTCGTTGTTATGGTATACTGGCTTTATGCTTGCTTTAATGAATTGTTGCTCTTCCTGTGCTACGATACAGAATGAACATACTTTGTTACCTTTGCTTTTGCCTTAATTTATCGTTCCATCTAGTGAGTTAAAGGCGAATGAGACATTGAGATGCAACACAATAGGTGCATTGCTTTTATTTAGCAAAATCATCTGATTTAAGAAATGCTTATGTAGTACATAAAATATTACTATAAATCTATCAAAAAATATAATGCTTTCACAGCCGCTAGCCGCTAAATTTATGTTTATAGGTACAAAGTACAGTTTATATGGGTTTTATACGCAAATGTAATGTATAAAGTGTACTTTACTGAGTCTTTTTTTACTTTTATATAATTTATTAATACCCAGTATTAATAAAATCATCTCAAATATACAAATAACAAAATATTTTAAATAGTAAATGAATAAACTAAATTGTAAAAACATTTTTAAAAACGGAAAATACAATAATATTAAATTCGTTAACATTACATTTAATACTTACATTAAAATTTCAATCTAAATAATTTATTTCATTAATCTACCACTGCAACAATAAAAAAATATTTGATTTTAAAAGCAGACCTTTTTTGTTTAAGGTCGAATAACTGGACCTGTGTACACAAAGAAAATCCTAATCGTGAACTTAGCAGTGATATCCATTAGCCATCTTTTTTCTTCGATCGCATTTTTACCATTTTTGGTTTTACAAAGCTCCGTTTCCATATGGTATAATCCAGTTTATAGTGATGTTATTAATGTGAACAAGGGATCTTACTTGGTTTCTGCTAGTTCAATAATAGCAGCTGGTTCAGCTTTAGTAGCCCCATGGATATTAAGAAGGATTAGTCCAACTGTGACGATTGCATCATGCAATGGTAAGTAAGGAAGATATTTGATATTTTTAATTCTTTAAGATAATAAAATAATGAAGATCATAGTTTATTTTAATCATTTGATAACACGTAAATTTTCATATTCCTGATTTTATTTCTGAAACAATTTATCTTGCTTTTAACACTTGCATTTTTTTATTTTGAGCAAATGATCTTGATGGTCAATTTTTGTTGTTTTCTTTAACAGATCTTAACTATTATCATTATTATTTTACATATTTTTCATATTTTCTAAAACATACTGTTTATAACGGCTATTGTCATTACTCCGTATCACATATTCTGCCCATCGTAGTCTATTGGCCATTATACAATATCTCTAGACTTTTCTTTCTGAAGAGATACTCTAAGAGAGACTAATTTATTGGTGTGTATGCGTCTCTATTCGTTTGTAACGATCTATTTGCAACGGCCGTATATTACTTGAAGGATTTAACATTCCCACAGCAGCAATTTTACATATCTAAGTTCACTAGTTACCGCAGATAACAATGCCAGTGAAGAAGTTAAGAGAAGAATACATATCGCTAATAAGACATATAATGTACCAATTAAATATCTAAGATCTAACAACATCACAAGAAAAACCAAGTGCAAAATATACAAGACCCTGATAAAACCGGTCCTTGTATATGGAACAGAGACATAGACACTGACGAAATGTGATAAGAAAGTATTAGGTACGTTTGAACAAAAAATCCTTACACACATATACAAGAAGGAAAATTACATATGGCATAGAAGATATAACTATATTGATTTGAACTGTACACAGCATACAATGAACCCGAGGTCATAACATCCACAAAGATCGGATGTCTGCACTGGATGGGCCATGTTGAACGAATTTTGAATACTCAAACACCAAAACATATAATGAGGCACACACTAGTAGGGAAAAGGTCAAAGTGAAGACCCAAATTTAGATACGTGGAACAAGTGGAACAAGATCTGAAAACACTTAAGATTACCAACTGGAAAAACAAAACAAGGAACAGAACAGAATGGTGGAAATCCTAGAACAAGCCAGGACTGAGAAAGAATTGTCGAGCTACTGATGATGATGACACCAGCAATTTGTATATTTCTATTTTATTAGCGTCCAGATTTCGCTTCCATACGCGACGTTTGGTCGTATAATGGTTTTGAATCTGTGGATTTTTGCATTTCGTAACAAATTTTGCATTTCGTGCAATTCTTTAACAACCTCGAAGTAATCATCATTATTAATAATATTTGGCCTTATTCGCTGTCGTTATTGAAATATGTATTTTGTTAAATCTTCATTTACTTTTAGACCGATATGCAGCTACTTCAAAAGTCGAAAAAATACCCTTAACTTCTAATGTTGATTGTCCAAACCAAAATTTACATAGGAATTATTTGACGTTTAACCCCTATTTTACTTGTGCAAGACCGCGTTAAAACACAGAGTCGCGTTACCGAACTAGTTTCTTAGGTATATTTCTTGTAGGCCTGTTTCAAACTTATAAAGATCTGAAGTACGTCTTGAATATACTCCCAACAGTTTTCACATAATAGACCGAATCTTATACTAGTTAATAAACTTACCAGGCAAACAACACTTATTGATGTGGCGATACCCAACACCAATAATTTGCGTGTTAAATACAACGAAAAAATCACCAAGTATAGAGATCTAGAAATACAAATCAGGAGACAATGGAGAATGGAAAGTACCCAAAGAGTACCTACCTATTATTCTATCTACTACTGGTGTTATTCCCAAAAACCTTCTAGTGAAGCTGTACTCTTCGCGAAGTCCCGATGTGTACAAAAATTTTTGTGAGATACTCCAGCATACTAAGCCACCTAGAGCTCGATAACACGGAAAGTCTCACCAGAACTCAATCCTTTTGATACCGTAGGTATCTGGCTAAATTGGCTAAATCTGGATAGTAATAATAATAATAAATTCTTTTGATACCGTAGGTGTCTGGGATGAGTAAATTTTCCCCTTAGAGGGAGTGTGAGCCGTATGGCTAAATCTGGATAATAATATGAGCCGGAAAGATTCCCACCAGAGCTCAATCATTTTTATACCGTAGGTATGATGAGTGAATTTTCCCCTTAGAGGTGTACAATAGTTGTACAATAGTACTGCCACACCATTTTTTCGGTATTATTTCTTTTTGTCAGGCCTTTTCTATTAACACGTTGCCTGCCGTAGAGGATTTTGTAATACTTTCCATTTACGCCATAGTCACCGAGACAGCATCACAGTTACATTAAAATTCTCGGTTAAATAGACCTTGCTGGCGTGCAGAGCAATTTTTTTTCTCGGCCACATAGACCAGGACGGCAGGCAACGTGTTAATTAATAGATTTTACATATAATTTCATTAACGCCTTATTTAATTAAGTGTATTATTGTTGTCGAGATCTGCGAATTTATGTTTGTTTACGGGTGTTATTCTAGGCTTGGGGTATTTCTCCTCCTCCTCAGCCCTAATCCCTATTGGGATTTGGTGACACCATCAGGTCTTTACAGTTTTTTCACGATTTCCCTCCATCCTTCTCTGTCCGGGGCTAGTTGTTCGTAGCAAGCATGTAACCCTTGGTTATTCAATATTTTTGTTTGATCTACCCAATGGCTTAAAGATCTTCTCCTAGGTCTCTTTTCTTCAACTCTACCCTCGACTATCAGTTTTTTCATCGTGCCTGAAAAAATGAGCGTCCTTACCAGCCTTAGTTTTGTATGTATTGTTACGCTATAATTCTTTTAAATTGCTGTTAGTTTCATCATAGCTATTCTAGCAATAGTCAACCTTCTACGTATCTCTCTGTCACACCCTCCGTCATTTGTTATTAGGGACCCCATGTATATGAAACTATTTACTACTTCATAGCCCCCAACTTCTTTAATGTGTTGAAGATTATTCCAAGCTCTGTCTACTATTATGATTTTTGTCTTACTCGTATTTAGCTATAGTTCATACGTTTTGCTTTTTTCCTCCAGACATCTTATTATGTCTTCCATTTCTTCTTGATTTGCCGCGATTAATAAAGTGTCATCAGCATATCTAAAGATATTGATTTTTTGATCTCCTACTGATATTCCACCCTTCCATCCGTCTAGTACCTTTCGCATAATGTGTTTGCTGTAGATATTAAACAGAGTTGGCGAGTTGGCAGGTGTCGGCATCCCTGCCTGACACCTGCCTCTGTTCTGAAATGATCGGAATGGGTGTTGTTTATTTTTACTATGCACTTATTATTTTCATATAGACTTTTAATTAGTTGAATTAAGTGGTAGGGTGTTTCCATTTCCGCTAGTAAAGACCATAGCTGCTGCCATTTGACTTTATCGAAGGCCTTTGTGTAAAACACAAAGGATAGGAATATTGAATTTACGATTTTTTTTAAAAGCTGTCTGACATTAAGGATGTGTTCTCTTGTGCCTTTGCCTGGGACAAATCCCGCCTGTTCTTTTAATATCTGAGGTAATAGAAAAGCTTTTAGTCTTTCATGTATTACATGAAGTAAAACGTTGCTTGCATGGGATATTAGGGTTACCGTTCTGTAGTTGCTGCAATCTAGCGCAGTTCCTGTTTTGAATATAGGGATGAAAGTGGATGTTGTCCAGTCGTTGGGCCACTCTCCGGTTTCTTAAATATTTTGCAGATCATATGCATAACATTTACTCCAATATCTCCAGTCTCTCTTAAAACTTCTGCAATGATCTGGTCTCCGCCAGGAGATTTTCTATTTTTCAATTTTTTTATTGTTTTTTCTACCTCTGACTTAAGAATGTTTGGTTCTTTCTCTGCAGTGAACTCATCGTGATTTGCATTCTGGGGATCATCTGCATATAGACTTAGACAATATTTTCTCCATACCTTCTCAATCCATTTCTCGTCATTTATAATATGTTGGTTTTGATCCATTATTGTTTGTGTGATTGGTTTAAATTCCCTGGATAGATATCGGACTTTGTTATATAGCTCATGGGATTCTTACCGATTTGCATGTCTCTCTAGTTCTTCGCATTCTTTGGGGTATTTCTACATCGATCGTTTAATACTCATTTTTCGGTTGTTTACAGTTCTTCAAAAGTCTATAAGCCTATCTTTTGATTTTTTAATTTTCGGCGGTGAGCATTCGATTTATATCTCTCGAAATTGGACGCACCCATATAAGGGTCTCTCTTATATTTTCTTACTTCACGGTAGAATGTTTTAGTTTAATTGTGTGTATGTTCTTCTTCTACGTTTTCAATTTGTTGTTATATATTGTCTCGTTTTTGGCTTAGTATTTTTCTATCTAATTCTCTCTCTTTCTTTCTCTCCCTCTCTCTCTCTTTTTCTCTCTCTCTCTCTTTGTGTGTGTTTAATTGTATAATTTTTGATCTAATAAGTTCGTAAGTTAATTCATTTTTTTTTTGTTATTTTAGAGCTCTTTCTCATTTTTCATCGAACCATTTTTTCTTTTTGTTTTATTTTTTGTTCCGGTAGATTTCTCTGGCGCTTTACAAATCTATTCAACTACAAAATATCGGCAAATAATTTATACGGAACATAGCGTTATTTTCCCTGCAACCACTAGTATGGCTGGATAAATTAGTCTTTGAAGTCACTTTACCAAGTTATTTACTATAATGATAGTAAAAAAAATGGAATGAAAATTGAAGATCTATTAACTTCGAGAACAGGCAGGATTCCGAAACGAACTCGCGACCTGTGGCGTGCCCCACAAAGATATTTTTAAATATGCACGCTATATGGATTAGAATTTACTTTAATGCTAAAACGTCATATTATAGACAATATTAATAAACATATGAGTAGGTTTTATTGTATAAAACGATCAAGAATCTACAGACACATACAAATCATTGTGTATATAAACACAAAGTCTGTATGTAGTGAATAGATGTAAATAGATAATAAGAGTAAGTGAGTCAATTGCTGACATGTAACAACGCAACATTGTTTTCAACCCAATTTGGGTTAACTTTTGTT